GGTTCTTTTCCACCGTGCCAGGAATTGCTGCCTATGAGCAGCCCCTCTTCTGGCACCCGGCCCCAGAAGCTGCTTGCTGGCAGTGCAAGGGGCAGTGGGTGGTGGGCATTTTACTACCTACCACCAGTGGCCTCACTGGGGCTCAGACTGCAGGATAGCAGAAGTGCCTTCCAGGTACCAGATAGTTCTGGGGGATCAACAGGTGGGAGCGATCATGAAATGGAAAATGTCATCACTCGTCCAAACCTGTGGGAACTCCAAGTTAAATTATTCCAAGAAATTTTCTAATTTAGGGGCATAAGGAGAATTTTAGTCAGTGAATGTTTCCCTGTGAAACTTTTTCGGATGTGTTTAGACACTCCTGTGATATTAAAATATGGATTAACTTAAAAGCATCACAGAATTCATGGTGGGTTTTTAGTCTGATGAATTTTCGAAAACAAGAGAAACTCTGGTGGGGATACTGGATGATTTGTTAACTCTAAAAGATGGGTGGAGGCCACTATGGAGGGTAAGGTTTCTTTGCAGAGACTCAAAGAACACTTCTTTTTTTTTTTTTAAAGATTTATTTATTTTTATACAAGAACTGGGGTACAGACCAGATATACGGGAAGGTGAGAGGATTCACCAGAGACAGAGCGGGGACAGAACAGGCAGACTGACGAAATACACTGCTGAGGGGAGCAGCGGGTGAGTCAGGAGAAGTCTGCCGCGCCATGTGGGACCCTCACCCGCAGGCTGGGATCGAACCGGCACCGCCGAGGCTGCGGGCAGCTTCACAGAGCGGCGCTCAACCACCTGCGCCACCAGGGGAGGCCCCAAAGAACACTTCTGATGTGAGAGTGGCGGTGGGCTGGTGCCTGGGGTGGGGTGGTGTGGAGGCTGGAGTGGGCCTAGCAGAGATGTGAGGTGAAAAATATGCTCTGGCATCTTCAGGCTTCACAGAGTTCATGAGAATCAAGTGAAATATTATTTCAAACCTAAAGTCCTTGAAAATGCGAGTTGAATGATGAAAAGATAGCAGTCTCTGACAGAATTATTTTCCTCCGATTTTCTCTGGTTCACTGTTGCTAGATAAGTTGTTCAGAGAAGCAGGTTTAAATTTAGAGGGTTTAATTAAGAGGAAAAACAATCTATTGTGTTTATTTTCTTTCTGAGAAGCAGGGAAGGAGAGGAATCAGATTATTCAGCTCTAGACTCCGCTCCCTGGAAGGACTCTGTGTTATCAGTGGGCTTTCTAGCTCCATTTCAGTTTGGTTGATGGTGCTGGTCCTGGGGATTGAAGGCCTGGATTAAATATCCCTCCCACCATCAGAGACCTATGAGGCTGCTAGTGATAAAGGATTATCAGCGCGTCCATTCCCTGAATTCTAGGACTGTCATTCATCTCTGGCGTAGAATAGGTGCTTACAGTGTCAAGCTGAGTGAGTGATGGAAGTCCATGTGTTGTCCTGGCCTTTGAAATGGTCTCTTCCTCCTTCGCCTGGCCCCTGCATGGTCACCTGGGTACCACTCAGAGTCTGGTTTTGGATCATGAGCTGTTCCCAGTTTCCTTTTCCAAGCTATTAGGTTTCTGGGAACAGTACTTTTCCCTGTGGGATGGTATAAGGTTAGGAACAGGACACAGTGCAGGTTTTCTGATCCCATGCAGACTGGGTAAAGGAGGAGTCAGAGTCCTCAGTGGTTTTGCAGGTTTTTATTGGGTTTCAGCGGGTACGTGGCAGGCAGGGGTGCTGGGGGGCCGGGAGGCTGGCAGTCCTCCCAGCCCCCAGCAAATCTTCACTCTATCTGGGCTCTCTGGCGTTCTCTGCTTCTGCTTCGGGCTTCTTCTCTTTCGGCTTCTGCTGGCGTCCCCGTGACGCCGCCCTTAAAAGCACAGTCTTAGCCCAGGTGTACCCACTTCAGGTGCCCACCATCAGGCATGCATTCAGGATCACAGGGTTCCCTCATGTATCCTGATGGCGGGAGGGCAGAAAAGCCTGATTTTTTACCTTACCCTACAGTCCACCCCTCAGGGTTTTCTGCCATATAATCCACACATACACAACTTTGTTTCTTAGCAAACACAAACAATGCAGCCATGGCCCACAAAAGCAAATGCATCAAATATAACAAAATACAATATAACAAAATACAACAGAACACAAATAAGTCCAGGCAGGGCCCCAACGTAGTGCAAAAGACAATTATTGGTACCAGCAGATGAGCCACCAAATCTGCTGCCGAAGGCACTGCTCATACGAGGGAGGGGAATCACTCACGGCATCTATTGCAACACGCCAGGCGCCGTCGGGCTTCCTGGCCTTCTCTGGCTATAGTCTCGGCTACAAGCCACACACAGCATCCACCCTCAGGATGCACTAGCTCTGGGATTGGTGATTCTGTACTGTTGGGGGTAATCGCCAACCCTCAGGGTTTCTGTCTGCAGTCGCTCCAACACTCGGCCTTCACAGCCACCCATGCGACTCGCAGACCCCTGCACTCAGGCCAACCCACTGCACAAGCACATGGGTCGGGGATCCAAACTCTACATTTGGCTTGGGCTCCACCCCAAGCCACGTTCCCCACCCGTCCCCCAAGGACGGGTTCCTCAGCTCCTCACCCTCACTCGAGAACGAGCAGGGCATCACCCACAGGTGATTTTACGAGACTCACAGGTCTTCAGCATACTCAGGCTGCTGAACAGCCACTCAGGGCTGCTCAACTTAGCATCAGCATCAGCTTTTGCCTTCTCAGCTGGCTTTTCTCCTCCGCCTGGCTGCTGGGCATACACAGGCTGCTTTTGGCCATCAAGGCCCACTGGCCACCCCCAGATTCTCTAAAAAAAAAAAACATAACCTGCCAAGGTCCTCCGCCTTCTGGTGGGATTGTCAGTCCAAGTTCATAGTCCGAGTCCATCAGTCCAAGTCCATTAGGCCAAGTTCGTTGGCCTCTCCCTGAATCAGCACTGGCGAGCTCCTAATCGTGGTCCTCTCTTCGCCGGTGATTCTGCTGCCTCAGGGGTCATTGGCTGGTCCTTTCCGGTGTTGTCGGCTGGTCCTCTTGGGTGTCTTCTCCATGTGAGGTCTCGTCTCACAGCTCCCGGACCGTATCCACCTTCTGTGCTGCCATGGCGCTTCCAGCATCGTCACAGGCAAACACTGTTACTCCTTAGTCCCTCCAGGTCTTTGGAGGGCTCCAATACCCGTCTGCATGGATCATCTTGCCAACTTATGCCAATTGTAAAGACAGGAATGGGCACAATGCAGGTTTTCTGATCCCATGCAGACCGGGTAAAGGAGGAGTCAGAGTCCTCAGTGCTTTTGCAGGTTTTTATTGGGGTTCAGCGGGTACGTGGCAGGCAGGGGTGCTGGGGGGCTGGGAGGCTGGCAGTCCTCCCAGCCCCCAGCAAATCTTCACTCTATCTGGGCTGTAGGGTAAGGTAAAAGGTATCAGGCTTTTCTGCCCTTCCGCCATCAGGATAGATGAGAGAGCCCTGTGATCCTGGGTGCATGCCTGATGGCGGGCACCTGAAGTGGGTACACCTGCGCTAAAAGACTGATATATAAGGGTGGTGCAGCAGAGTGCGGTGTGGTGGTAGTGCGGTGTTAAGGGTGGAGGAGTGGAGTGTACGGAGGAGTGTTGGAGCGACTACAAACCACGGCGAAGAGCATGTGGCTGCTAGAACCGTTCATAAACCTGCTCAGAATGGGTTGGTTGCTTTACATGGGCTCTCTGGCGTTCTCTGCTTCGGGCTTCTTCCCTTTCGGCTTCTACTGGCGTCCCCATGACACCACCCTTAAAAGCACAGTCTTAGCCCAGTGTACCCTTTTCAGGTGCCCGCCATCAGGCATGCATTCAGGATCACAGGGTTCCCTCATCTATCCTGATGGTGGGAGGGCAGAAAAGCCTGATTTTTTACCTTACCCTACAGATAGGTTGAATGGATTCAAGATGGCTACTGCTCAGGCTTATATCCTCTTCGGGGTCCTCACCTATCATACCTGATTGGTCTTGAAAGGTCCATGCAGGAGGCCAGAATGCAAAAACCCACCAGGAAGCCCACCTGGGGACAGGAATGCAGAAGTCTGCCTAGAGGATTCAGACAATGAGCCTCCCCTCACCGTACAAATATTTTCTCAGACAAAGAAATTCCCCCCACCCTACAAATCTTTTCACACCCTACAAACTTTTTCCTGCCATACAACCCAGTCTCCCAACTGACCTCTCCTCACCCTATAAAAGCCTGCCTCCCCTTGACAACATGCGTGGCTTCACTGACCCCCACCTTGGGTAGGTGAGGTCCACCTGGGGCGCAATAAATTTTCCCTTCCTTTGAGAAATTTAGCCTGGCTCTCCTTTTCTTTACCATGCTGAACCTTTCAGGTCTGTTTGCAATTCCAGCAGTTAAATTAGTGCCAGTCAAGCTCCAATCAGATTCATCTATTTATATTCCTGAAATGTTCTCCAAAACTTTGAATGGCAAGGGCGAGATTGCAAACATAATTGATCCATTGGGAGCTCAAATCCAATTAGTTCATTTGCAATTCCAGCATGGTATTCAGTATTGACATCCAGGCTGGCTGTCCAGACCTGACCTGCACTGAGGTTGGGAGGTCTCCCTGGTGGTGGGTACAGGGGAGCCACAGCTGGAGTCAGCTTCAATGGGACTGGATGCTCGGCTAAGCTGACCTGAATCAGGATCCATGGGGTCCTGGAAGCTGCCACTGCCCGAGCTAACCAGGCTGGGCTGAGGGCTGCTGTAGCACAGCCCGGGCCGATGCCACCAGAGCTTGGGACTGATCCACAAGCTGCATGTGCTGGGGCTGCCCTCAAACCACACTGCTGAAGTGGTAGCATAGACCAACCAACCCAGCCACACCTTGGGCAATAGCAGCTGCTTGGCTCCTTTTGTTAATTGTAACAGGATGGTCCCCAGGAAAGGGGGAGGTTCCAGGTTTCCTGCCCACCCAAAAAGAGGGTGGAGCTGAGCAGGGAGGAGAAGAAGCTGCAGAGGAGACTGAGAAGGAAGGAAGCAGAATGGAGAGCCAGGAGACCTGGAGAAGGCACATGGATCTGAGAGACATGTGACGAAACTACACTTGCCTTTTGGTTGTGAACTGGTTGACACAGATGTGGGTGAGAGACCTGTGGGGAGGTGACATGGCAATTTTTGTCTTGATTTTGATTTTGCTCTTTTCCTTCCACACTTGCCTGGTTGTTTCTGATCCTTTTCTGTGGGTCCCCCCTGGAAGGTGCTTTAGACTTGTGACAGACTTTGGGGCCTTGCTGTGGGCCAATCCCATTTGGGTGAACTTGTACCCACGAGGGGATGGGTAACTTTGGGTGCTTCATTTAGATACTAGACTCTTTGCCTTTCCTGTATTATTTCCTAATTGTATTAAAGTTCCTTCCCATTAAAGTCTCATATGTTTTGTGTTGATGCAGCGGATGGCAGAACCTATTTAGAACAGGTAGATTTGCGGGGTCTGGGCTGCCCCTCTCCCTGCCCAGTAACAAATTTGGTGCCCAATGTGATTCAAGATAGAGCCATCCATGGTTAGTCAGCCCCATGGGGAAATTGGTCTTCCCTATGGCATTGGCTACCATAAGCACAATGTGATTTTTGGTTTCTCTAGTGTGCTTGTTTCATGTAGATTTGCTGCTGAAAAACTGGCTTGGGCTTTGTGAAGATTCGGTGTGTCTGTGTGTAATTTGTTTGTAGTGACTTGCCAATAGATTTGATTTTGTGGAAATTGTTCTGTGCAGCAGTTTTACTCAAAAGATTAGGTAGTACATTGGACCATGTGGCCAGGTCAAAGACGGCAGCTGAGGCCACTTGGAGGGCTCTTGCAAAACTCAAAGTTCTTGTTGCTAAGATTTTGGACCTTTTTTTTCTTTTTGTGATCTCTGCTGTCTCATTAGCAATAATGATTCTTCAGTGATATGCTGCTTTGACTTCTACCATTTCCTGACCTCTGCCTGAGGGGTTTTGCAAGTCAACTATGGAGCAGCTGTGTTTAAATTAGCAAATGTATGCCTGGGTGTTAACAACAGAGTAACCTTAAGCAGTAACTGGTAATTGCTGGTAGCCTTGAAGGATTCTTGGAGATAACTTGAATTTTTGCAAAGTCTGGATCAGAAAAATTAAAAAGGTTTTGTCTGAGTCTGAAAGGATTTGCAACTGTGAATTTTGTCTATGCAATTTGTGGCTAACAGAAGTAAGGACATGACTCCTTTTAATTGAAAGTTAATTGCAGATATTTTGATTTTTGCTTTTTTCAGGTTCTGTTCCAGGAAATCTGGAACCTCCCCCTTTCCTGGGGACCACCCTGTTACACTTTGACAGTGTTGCCTTCCCAAAATATCACATAGCTGGAGTCACACAGTCATGTAGCCTTTTCATATGTGCTGGTAGAAGTGCAAAATGGTAGTCACTTTGGAATACATATGGGTGGTTTCTTATAAAACTTAACATATTTTTACCATATACTCCTTGATATTTACCCATATGTACTGAAACTTTATGGCCACACAAAAACCTGCACATATGTATTTATAGATGTTTTATTCATAATTTCAAACCTTGGAAGCAACCAGGATGTCTTTCAGCAGGAGATTGGATAAATAAAATGTGGTACATCCAGACAATAGGATATATTATTCAGTATTACTAAGTGAACGAAAACCAAATCTAGCGACATGTGGTACGCGTTCCCCAGGCGAGTTTCTCCACAAGATAGAGACATTAGTTATATTTAAAGGGCAGGTTTTTTTTTTTTTTTTTAAGATTTATTTATTTACGCCTTCAAGAACTGGGGTACAGGCCAGAGGTGTGGGGGGTGGGGTGTGAGAGGATTCACCAGAGACAGAGTGGGGAACAGAATAGGCAAATTGACTGAAGTACACTGCTAAGGGGAGCAGTTGGTGTTGGTGAGACAGGAGAGGTCTGCTGTGCCATGTGGGTAAGCTCCCTGGCTAGGGACTGAACTTGTGCTGCAGAGGCTGCGGATAGCTTCATAGGTTGCGTCTTAACCCTTTGCGCCACCAGGGAGGCCCTAAAGGGCAGGTTTATTTGGGAAGGGACAGAAGAATAAAGGACACGTGCATAGACACAAGCAGGCAGAAAGAGCTGCCCCAAAAGGGACAGGTTTGCTAAGAGAGGCCTGCATGGTTGCAGGTGGGCTGCCTTGAGAGCTGCCTCTGCTGAGGGAGATCAGTGAAGAGAAGTCCCAGCATGGTATAAGTCACAGGCAGGCAGGGAAGTTGCTGCCCTGTAGAGGGAGAGAGTTGGTGAAATGAAGCACCTTCATAGTCCCAGGTGGGCAGTGAGCTTGCTGCCCGCCGCATCCCGCCCACCCCCACCCCCCCAGACAGGGTAGAGACTGCACTGATATAGTCTTCTGTTTGGGAGGGGCTCACTCCTTGTGAGCCTTCGAGTTAGTTTCTGATTTCGGATAACTGCAGAATCTGAAAGGGACCGGAGATTCTGTTACTGAGCAGCCCCGATATAAAACGGGTTGCCTGGCTGTGGGTCCTCACCCACGCGCTTCAAAGGGACTTATTAATACTCCACTGCAGGCACACACGAAAGGTTAATAAAAGGTTTATTTACAAGGGAAAGGGAAGTGAGGAAATGTACAACTCAGGGAGAAAATAGGGAAATAAAGTCTTAAATGTGTCCTACCCGATCCACCGACCTGGAAACCCAATGGCACTCTGAGAGCTGGCGGAGAGCCAAAAGGCCCCCCCCCCCCCAAAGCCCACGTGTCTAGTTTTATACCAAACCTGGCTGCTTAACCCCACCCTCAGGTTCCAGCAACCTTCCCTTTGGTGGTGATGGGATTTGTCTTTCCTAATGTCCTGATGGCTTTGGTCTGGAGTGGGGGTGGAGTCCACAAAGCCTGTATGGAAATAGCTTTAGGACATCCTTTCCCCCCTAACAATTCCACAATGGGCTCCATCTCCATATCTTTACCTTTGGATGTGTGCTCTGATACCTGCTTGGATGTTATGCTTTGTAATCTAGGTGTTGGCACCTAAGGATCTTGGTTTCCATAGCTGTGTCATTTGCGCCTAAGGATCTTAGTTTCCACAACTGTGTCAATGGTTATGCCAATCTCTTCTACCCCCACCTCCTTGTGTGAGCCAGGTTTCTGGTCTCATGCACTTCCTTTTTCATTTTTTTTTTTTTTCTATTCCTATCCTCCGTCAATCAGCATTTGGTGTTCTAGATTTTGACCAATAGGTATATAGTGATATCTCATTGCTCTTTTAATTCGAATTTTTTGATGACATGATATAGTACATCCTTTCCTATGCTTATTGGTATATATCTGTCTAACTTCTTTGATAAGGTGTCTGTTAAGGACTTTGGTCATTTTTTATTTTTATTTTTTTAAAAAAATATATATTTTTTAGATTTATTTATGCATACAAGAGCTGGGGTATAGGCCAGAGGTGGGGGGGGGGGTCGGGGGAGGGTGAAAGTATTCACCAGAAACAGAGTAAGGAACAGAACAGGCAGACTGACTGAAATACACTGCTGAGGGTGTTAGGGGGAAAAGGCAGTCCCAAAGCAAATTCCATACAGGCTTTGTGGACTCCACCCCCACCCCAGGTCAAAGCCAAAGACACTGGGAACTCCAAATCCCATCACCACCAAAGGGAAGGTGGCTGGGACCTGAGGGTGGGGTTAAGCAGCCAGGTGGATACAAAAGGCAGACACGTGGGCTTTGGGGGCTCTCTCTCCATTTTGGGGCCCTCGGCCAGCTTGCGGCGTCCGTCTAGCTCTGAGAGTGACTTTGGGGTTTCCAGGTCGTCGGATCGGGTAGGACGCATTAAAGACTTTATTTCCCTATTTTCTCCCTGAGTTGTACATTTTCCTTATTTCTTTTTCTCTTGTAAATAAACCTTTTATTAACCCTTTTGCGTGTGTCTGTAGTAGAGTATTCATAAGTCCCTTTAAAGCGCGCGGGTGAGGACCCACAGCCAGGAACCCGTTTAATATCGGGGTTGCTCTATAACAAGGGGAGCAGTGGGCGAGACAGGAGAGGTCTGCTGCACCATGTGGGTTGCTCTCTGGCCATCCGGGGATCGAACTCATGCTGCAGAGGCTGCAGATTGCTTCATAGTGTGGTGCTTAACCCCTTGAGCCACCAGGGAGGCCCTGTTTTTTTTTTTTATTGTTGAGTTTACAATGTTCATTTTCACCAGGACATGAGGAGGAAACCTAGCCCAAATCCTGACTCACCTCTGGAGAAATGTCAGAGCTGGAATGACTCCAGAAGACATGATGTCCTTGAAGGGACTGATTTATGACCACCCCAAATTTATATATTGAAAACCTCAGTCTTCATAGTACCTCAAAATGTGACTGTACTTGAAGACGGGAACTTAATGAGGTAATTAAATTAAAATGAGGTCACTAGGTTAGGCCTTAAACCCATATGACTGATGTCCTTAGAAGAAGAGACTCGGACACAGACACACACACAGGAGAGACCAAGTAAGGACACATGAAGATGGTCATCAGCCTCCAGAAGAAATTCCCCAGAAGGAACCAGCCCTGCAGACACCTTCATCTTGGTCTTTGAACCTCCAGAGTTGTGAGAAACTGGATGTCTGCTGTTAACTACCAGTCTGTGCTACTTCTTAAGTTTGTTATGGCAGCCCCAGCAAACTAATACAGTCCATTACCACCCACTTAGTTCAACAAGCATTTACTAAAGCTTATCACTTAACATGCTAGACAGGCTGTATATTAGGTGGGAAGAGATAAGGTTTCCATTCTTTGGAAACTATGGTCTAGATGTGTCATTTGCATATGAAGAAGTGAGACTCAGGTGGGTACCTGAGATAATATTAACCTTTCCTGCTTCCTCTTAGTCCATTGGGGGGGTCTCTTCCCACAACATCACTGGCTGAGCCTGTTTGTGGACTCAGAGGGCACTTTGTTATAGTGGAAAATTGCCCTGAAAAAGGTCCAGAGAAGCAAAAGTCTAGTCTACTTTCTGTACTTCATGGCTGTGTAGCCCAAAGTTTTATGCTTTTGTGAAATGGGCTTGAGAAACCCTAACCAGTCTTCCCCTTCCCATAGGCATACAGGCCAAAGGATGTAATGTAGGCAAAGTACCAAC